CTAAAGGAGTACTGGAAGAATAGAAGAATGTGGAAGACTGACCTTTCTATAGGTCTCCTTATCTTAAATAAACACAATATACACAACCCAGTGAGAGAATATATAAAATTCTACCTTTGTAGAAGATGAATTCTGAGTAAAGACCTTATGCCAAGAAAATATATCCAGAAAACAATACTATTTTTTTTTCACATGAGGTTAACAGCAGTACTTGCAATTTCAACAGAATAATGAGAAAATAATATAAATATGAAGTGATATAAATATGAAGTGCATAAAAATACTCATTTTCATATTAATGTCTATTCTGATCCTCATGCAGACAGGATGCATAATTGCAACTTCAAACTTGATAGAATGACATTATAGACTATGCAAGGAAAATTTTATAGGCGTGATTTGGAACAAAATGAGCTTCTAATTTAATAGAAGGGTAGCTTTGTCATTGATTTTCACAGGTATTTGACTACTATTGTAATAACAATGTTCAGAGACTCATATGTGTTTTAGAAATTTTACATAATGTGTATCAGTACAGTGTCTAAGTCTGTGTCTAGGCACAGAAATATTTGTGGGGAAAATTATGCTTTAAAAATTGCATTAAAGGACAACACAGTAATAAGGAGTACAGCTGGAAGTTCCTGAAAACTCATTAATGACAACTGTGCTTTCTGTTATGCCACACCAAATAATCAATTGAAACAGCTTTTAATCACTGCTTCCTTCACTGTAACTGATGTGAGTGCATACAATATACTATGCTACAGATTAAAAAAAAAAAAAATTAGCTTAAAAATTAACAGACCATCCACACAAACACATGCATATAGATTGCTAAAAAGTTTAAAACCATTCTGAAGAACAGCAGCATATTATACATCTCCAGCAGAAGGATCATTTAGCAGATAAAAACTGCCCCTTCTTAAGAATGTTAATTCTTCCTGGATTTAGAAATGATTATCTTATCATGATAAAAACTTAGACTGGAGGACTTACTGGATACACAATTAAATTAGCTTGATTCTGTGTCTGAACACTTTTTTAGTTTACTTAAAAATTGAAAACAGAACAAAATAAAACACCATACCAAGGACTCCAGAAAAGCCTTACAAAAACTAAAATTGACAAAAGGCCTTACTGTTAAATACAGTTAAGCAAAACTGAAATCATGTAAGTGATGCTTTATCGTACATTTTTACAAGACTATTTTCAAAGTATGCTATGCATTTCCAAAATCAATGCAAAGAAAAAAAAAAAAAGAGTGGCATCAACATTTTAAACTAATAGTAATTGCCCTACTGTATCATCATTTTAAACAAGCATAGAAGAATGCTGAAGAAACAAAAGAAAGACAAAAACAAAAACTCAGAGATGTAAGAAATTGCATCTTTCCATTACAGTATGTTTACCTAACACAGTGACTCTTCTTTCCCTCCGGGTATTTAAATTGGGCATTTGAAGAGCCAAGTAATGTAACCCATGAGAGATAAGTCAAAAAACAATTCCTCGCTGACCCAGACAACTGCTTTATTGTGCAGAGCTACAGAACAACAGAGAAATTCTACAGTCTGAATCAATGATGACAGATGTGACAGGCGGAGGAAGGTACAAAGAAAAAAAAACGTGTAATCTATTTCTTTTAATTCAGTACTGGTTTTTTTTCTACTATAACCTCTGTAGAGATACACAGGGCATTCTTCTTTTGATATTTTTGATACTCTTTGTAGAATAACAAAAATCAAAAAAATCAGTTAAATGATACCTTCTGAGAAAGAACCATTAAGAGAATAACAAAAAAAAAAAAAAAAAAATCCTACGTAAATGCTTTTACTTCAATGGAAACTCTTTCTACTGACAAAGTATTTTAAAAGGTCACCAATATTTTCAATTCTTCCCTCTCTGGAGCCCAAATGGTCTTCCAGACAACAACTTTATATCTCCAAAAAAGTCATCACTCAGGTTTCAGTGCTACGATGAGATGAAGTAGCTAAGGGAATGCAAGTAACTGAAATTGCCTACATATACTTTACTATGGTACATTTTTTCTTTCATTTAAAATAGGAACAAAGAAAGAAAGACATAATACAGGCAAATATTTTGTCTGGGTCTTGTTTTATTTCATTGTGTGTAATGTTATCTTTTTCTTTTTTTTTTAATTTTCTTCAAGTTTGCTGTACTATACAACAAAATATCACGGACTAAGCAATTTCTAAATAAGAACTAATAGTATCTAGCTAAACATCAAGAACATACTCAAGCCCTTTTATTTTATGCTGTCCTAAATTTTTGATCTCTTTTAAATCCTGAACAGGCTTTGGCTTTTTGATCAACATAACTTAGGAGAGACTGATCGAGATATCCTAGCAAGAAATTCTGCAACAGCTACTTTTCAAAAAAATCAATCGAGCAATCTCTTTAAAAGTCTATCACTAACCTCATTAAACTAGCGTGAAATTAAGCTGGGACTTTCTCAACCTCATTCTCTACAGGCTTCTGACATATCAAAGGGCTAGTAGAAAGAAATAGGAGCTATATCCCCCACACATGTACTAACGGGGGGTTACCTGTAGGCTCTAGTTTCCGCTAGAGTCAGTGGTACTAAGTAACAAATAAGGTCACAGAGACAAAAATGGCTACAGGCGTAATACCCATTTAAAGACCGGTTATTTGCATGCGACTTGCTACTAAAATTAAGTGATCTTAAAAGAAAGTTAGCTTTACTGCTTAAGTTCCCAGCCTTTATTTGGCTTCCAGTTACTGCCATGATGATCAATCCTTATGACTAGTCATTCTAATGAGTAGTAAACAGATGCTTCTAAGCACTCTGAATCACTGTAGCAAGAGACAAATAGTATCACAAAAGCCTTTTATAGCACACTTCAGAAAACAAGAAAGTCCAAAGGAAGTGAAAAGAAAACATGCCATGTTTCTTGAGCATTGTAACTGTTTTATTTTCACCTGGTTTGCTGCATTCAGGCATATAAAATGCTTGGTTTTATACCACTCTCATTTTTTTTACATACCATTGTCTATTCCCTCTTTTTCTCTCCCACATGATCATGCAAATATGACTTCTCTTTGAAACTGCATACATGGTGCTCCAAACCTTACAGGACAGACAGCACCTTGCAGTATGACTGATCTTGCCTAAGGAATGTAGCTTTGATATTTGCAAAACAGATTCTAATTTAAAACTCAGTGAAATACTAAGAATAAGAAATCTTTATCAATAACATACTGTTCCTGTGTGTTACCTCATTTGGACATCTAATGTAAGAATATGAGTGGGTAATAGGATAAAAATACATTAACATCATACCTTCTTTTGTTTTACTTTTGTACACTCTTGCACATCCTTAACTTTACTGATATAAACATAAAGAAATAAAAGGGACTATTATCATGACTTAGATTATGTGCTAAACCGATTTACAAAATTAGAGCCCTAAAAAGCAAAGATTTAAAATACAAATGAGTAGACTCAGTCCTCTCTGTTCTCTCCTTCTCTCCTCCTCATTTATTTGAATTCTCTTTACTCTTACAATACCCTTAAGTAACAGCATCCATAGCATATGCACATAATGCAAACCAAGGAGATAAGTTTTTTTCTTGCAAGTTTAGTAATTCAAATGAGGGCTGAATTTAACATGTATGGAATTCCTGATAAACATGTTTATGTTCTTTAACTGTGAAAACAGCATGGATAATGTTCTCTAACTGTTCACAGTGATATCTTCATTTAGCAAAGAATATAAAACCCTGTGAAATACATTTATTTGTTGCTTTTATGAATGACTACAAAAATTTCTTTAATGGCACTTCAATTTCTTTAATGACACTGTCTTTGTAGGAGAGGTGCTCCAGCCCTTTGATCATCATCTAGATTGTTTCCAACAAGTCCATGCTCCCCCCATGCTCACTCAATCACAGGAGTTGGAAAGTGCTTCTAGGGATCATCAAGTCCAACCCTCCTGCAAAAACAGGTACCCTACGATAGGTCACACAGGTCCAGCCAGGTCTTGAATATCTCCATAGAAGGAGACTCCACAACCTCTCTGGGCAACCTGTTCCACTGCTCCGTCACCCTAACTGTGAACAAGTTCTTCTGCATAGGAACTTCCTATGTTCAAGCTTTAGGCCATTACTCCTTGTCCTATTGCTACCATCAAGAAGAGTCTGGCCTCATCCATTTACCTCCCACCTCCCTTTAGATATTTATGAATATCTACCAGATCCCCTCTCAGTCTTCTTTTTCCCCAGGCTGAATAGACCCAGGTTCCTTAGCCTTTCCTCATATGGGAGATGCTCCAAGCCTTAATCATCTTTGTGGCCCTCTGCTGGACTCCTTCATGGAGATCCCTGATTTTTTTGAACTGGGGAGCCCAGAACTGCACACAGGGGTCTAAATGTGGCCTCACTAGGGCACAGTAGAGGGGGAGAATCACCTTTCTGGACCTGCTGGCCATGCTCTTTTTAATGTACTGCAGGATACCATTGGCTTTCTTGGCCACAAAGGCACAATGGTGTCCCATGGCCAACCTGTTTTCCATTAGGATGCCCAGCTCCTTCTCCACAGAGCCCCTCTCCTTTAGATTAGGCTCCATCATCTGCATAAATCCAGAGCATCTAAGATACATAGACATCTAAGTAATGCCTTCTATATATGTCCATGAAAACTATAACAGAGACAAAGAGCACAGTAACGCTATTTAACAGAGCAAATTCTCACCCACTAAATTGTTTTTCAACACAGCCACCACGATTAGCTATGTGTTTTTGCCAGTGATGAACAAAAGCCTGCCTGCCAGGCTTGTAAAGATTTGCATGAGCAGAAGTGACCCACTGTCACTGCCACTGCTGAAACACACCACCTACTGCCTCACTGTGCTCACATCCATTCTTTGGTCTCCATAAACATTCAGTGTGCATCAATGAATGTCAATGGGTGCCATTTTTTCCACATGAAGAAATTCAGTGACACACCTCTTTTTCATACACACATCCATGTCAGATGCCATTCCATCAGACTGCCCTTTTGCTGCCACCTGTCACACTGCAACAAAATGTAATATCATATATTAATTGTGCTTCAGGTATATTAATTCAGAACAACACGGGCCTAATATTGCTGTAACAATGTGGACAAAGGTAATATTTTAATAAGGTGTCAAGGATATCACTGAAGAGTTAAGATTAAGACACTCTGAGAGAGTAGGCCACTTTATGAGGTTTAAATCACAGGAAAAATAGGGAATCCCATGGCAAAACAGTTACCATGTATTTGCATTAAACAACAACAAAAAAAATCATTCTAGTTAGGATATTTGTTCTGCAGTGTTCTTTCCTTGTACTTTTCCTTCACTCTGTTATGAAAATTATATTCTTATAAATACTATAAAGAAATTAAACTTAATCATTCCATCTCCTCAAACCACGTTTCAGTAATATCTCTAAGGATTTAACTCACATACCCTGGATTATTCTGGGAGCCTTAAGTTGGCTTTATTACAATATCGGTTTATTTTTCTTGCTACCCATAAGCATATTATTTCAGAATTATTTAAGCAGGGAAATCTCACTGGATTTTGTGTTCTTTCTGTGCAAGTATCAAGAGATTCTTAAAATATTTTATCAGCTATAAAATCCATTATGACGCATGCCAAATAATTTTCAGATGAATGCATTTCCCTTTATTCAATCTAGTTACCTCCTGAAGTTCAGCCTATATAGAAGTCTGAGCCACTGTGATTTTTCATCAGTCTACAGTAATATGTTTAACTGTATGGAATTGTTTAAGTGAAACAGCAGACCTCCAACCAGACATTACTGTTTTAATAAGCTTGTTTCAACATCCTACAGACATGATCTACAGAAGTACGCTACAAGTTCTGAGGGGTGAGGTTCTAACAGGAAAGGACACAGGGGAAGTGTATCTCTGCAGAGAGGCATATCCTGAAGCTGCTGTGGAGGAAGGACGAGTGGAAGTACTAGGTCTACAGTTGAAGTTAGAAGCACTGAAAGTTGGAAGGTAGAGGTCCAGTGAATGACAACAGTACTAAATAGGAGGCAAATCCCAGCTCTGGCAGCAAACACCTGTCAAGCTTTAAAGAACTACATGAAAGAAGCAAAGGCAATGGGTTGAATGGCAACTGTGCAGCTTTTTATTGCAGATCTCTGCCCTTCCTGACTAGAATCTGCTCACTGCTGTGCCTTTCTTCGCCTAGGCCTGTCTCCACTGCTTCTTCCTGGCAGTGTTCCCAGCAGAGAACCCAAAGCCTCAAGGAAACATACTCTGCTGCTCTTCAGGAAAGTCCGATATTTTAGACTAGCCATTACAAAGCATTTTAGCAGAAATCTTTTATTTATTCCTGCAAGAATCAGAGCACAAATATAAAAAATAAAGTGTGACTTATCAGATTTATTTAAGGGAACTTTCAGCCATCCATCTGCAGATATATAGACTGCAAAATGTTCTGCCTTTTCTTTGAGTTGTTACATAAAAACAGAAAATTATTTCACTAGTGCAAATTCTCAAAATGTTTTTCTATTATTTATAAATGGTCTAATATGGCAGAATTTTGCCATTCTTAAACACAGCTGTAATGAAATAAGCTGAAACTTAACAAATGTGACTGGGTAGTTTCTCCAGAATTACTAGTTTTACAGGCTCTACCAAAGCAGATTTGTACACTGAACTGAACAGTCATTTTGCTATACTGTGCAGTAATATAAACAAAGACGAAAATGTCTAGAAAATACAACAGTTACTCACGTCCAGCATGCATTAAAAGTGCAAGCTTACTTATACACCTTACAGCTTCCTTAAGTGATAATGTTTTCCCTTCCATCCATTCCCCAGTTTTTCTATTTACTCATTTACAGTTCTGTACAAAAGGAAAACAGAATGAACTTCTTGTTCTACTCTATCAGACAGATTTTTCTCTATATATAGGGATGTACCTAACACTCTTTCCTACCAGCTTTATTTAACCTAATTCTTTTCTAGGTGAGGCTCTACAATGTCACTAATAAAAGTTCAATATGCTTCCAGTTAATACCTTTCCTAACTATGGACGTACAATATTAAATCTATAGCAATTTTCTACAGGCAAAGTCACAGAATTTTAAGGTCAGATTATATTTTAAAACAAAGCATACTTCTATAGATAATATTTTCCTTATCAGTTTTTCTAATATTCATCTATTCCTAATCACAAGTAGTGATAATGGCAAGTAATAATTTTATCGCTGGTATGGCTAATGTATATTTTGGTTCTCAAGCTATCGTATGCATAAATTTTCACCTATTTCTTAGTATAAAATGACAACGATCTTAGTTTAACTTAGAAGTGAAAAAAGAGCTAATTTAGCTAAAAGAATAGTAAGTCTGATTACCTAGCCTTGCAATGAAATTTCTCTGCAAGTGAGATATTTCAGATAAAAATCAGCCAGTTGTATTTGCCTTTTTCCTTGGCCTAGAAGCAATACAGTTGAGCTCACCCAGTCAATCACTTCTGATTTCCACAATTTTGTTGTAGCTTTTTTTGTTTGTTTGTTTGTTTTTTGTTCTTTCTCCAGAGGGATGTTTAAATAAGATATCTAAATGAATTTTTGCCTAAAAAAACAAGTATGTGCATTAACAGAACTGACTTTGAGTCTTATACCTAAGAATAATTATAGAAATCATTTTATCTGTCATGTGAACGACCCAGAATAAAATTAACTGTCACTAAGCATTGTGTCATGTCACCAAACATGTGCACATACATTTTGTATAGGGAATACATACTTCAGCTGTTCACTTGCTCTTCATCAGGCACACAGTCTAAGGTGGCAGATTTCCTTAATGGAATGTGTTATTATTACATTTCCCATTTGAGCCTTTTCCATTAAAAGCTTTTCCTGTATCACAGAGGAAATTCTGTTATTCCTGAAACGAAGTCACACCAAATTGTTTTTAGAAGAAGAAGAGAGGAAAAAGAGAGCTGTGGTGAATGGTATAAGAGGCAACGTAATGTATGTTTTCAGAATCTTTTGCTTACTTTGTATCTCAGAATCCCTTGAGGTTTGCACTGTTCTGTTTCCTATAGCCCAGCACCAGGTTTCTGTGTCATAAGCAGGACTACAACTCCTTTTGGAATATTGGGAAGATGCAGTGTGAGCTTCTTCCACTCAGGTACCTTCTAGAAGCAAGAGGTGAAAAGAAAATAAAATAAAAAGGCAAGAATACATGCGCTCTCTGTAAAAATCTGGGAGATTTTACCTTATGTTACAGACCAGATGAAAATATTCAGAGAAAGCACACAAAATTTAGGCTTATTAAATTAGTATTAATAGTTTAAAATTATCCTTTTTTCAGTTTAATTCATTTATGTAATTACATACACAAATGTGTGAGTATACATATAAAATATATATTATTTTCACTCTGTAGCTCATAAAACCACTGCATTAAATATTTTCATTATCAAATAGCAGACTAGCTACTACGCAAGTTCCTAGTTTCTATGCAAGGAGGTACAGCAGTTTTAGGTGAGCCACAAAAAGCTTGAATGTAATTTTAGCTCCTCAGAAGAAATAAAATACAGTTTTTCTTTGATTTTAATGAAATTCAAGTTTAAAAATGCACTAGAAACAGGAAAAAAATGATAAATTAACAACAACAAAATTTACCACCTTGTACATAATTAGCAATATATGGTAAGTAAAGATTACTTCAAAAGAACCTGAACTTATGTAACCAATGACATCTCTACAAAAGGTCCCAAAGCTGCCTCTTTTTCAAATTTTTGAAATTCCCTTCACTTAATAAAACCAAAATTCATAATTTTTACTTATTAACTTACACTAACAAGCATGCCTTGCTTTAAAGTTGGGGTCATTACAGTTATAATCTTTTGTTCTCTAGTAGTTGAACAGATACAAAATGCTTTCATAAAGTCTGTAAATTCTTTTCATTTTGTTTTAATTTATTTACCTTTTTTATTATTACTATTTTGGGAAATACTCAGGACTGCAACACTGACGAAAACATTTAAATCAACTTTACTACTTATGTTTTTTTAAATTCCTTTATGAGAGAATTTTGTGATAACCCAGTCTTCCCTCAAAAAAATAAAACAGTTCCAAAATAGGTAGTGACATAATAGAATTCTTACACTAAATTACTGTCATGTCCCAGGTTAATAATATTAAAGAATTAGAAAAGCACTTATGTAAAATCCTCTCTTTGTTTATCTCTTGCTATTCCAGAGTGAAAAAATAATCTGAGGACTTTTGCAGTCCCATCCCACATCTCTGTATTAGTTATTTGCCTCCTTCCTGAGCAATACAGGAATAATGAAAAAAGCAGCAAGGGCAAAAGCAACTGCTACTAAGCAAAGAAGGAATGAGACATTTCAGAATAGAACATTCGAGAATTTTAAGAACTGCTCATTTTCCCCCATGTGTCTCTCATGTTTTTCTTGAAGCTGATACAGTTCATTTTCCCACTATGTGATGATGATTAACATGAGACATCAAAGTTACATTTTAACTCTATTTGAATGATAACATTTCAGACGATAGATTACATATTTTACTAGAAAGCAAAATTGTTCAATCCAAAGTACCCTAATTTATCAGTGAAGAGCGAATAACTTCTTTAGTATTGCTCTAGGTGTGCACTAAGGAAATTCAGCATCTTGAAAATGGCTTAAGATAACCAACTGCTGTTAACAACAGTAGCAGAATGATGCCATAGCAACTCCTGTTACAAATCCCTGAAGGAAATAGCAGCTATTGCCCTGTAGCTATACTCAATATACATTTAATATGATTTTTCATAAAAATCTTTTATACCTTGGCATCACAAAGTCAAACTGTATTATCATTACCCATGTAAGTTCAGCACAATATACTCCAATCTCAGCATATGTAGGAAAATAAATTGTTCATGCATTTCACATAGGAAAAAATGTAGCTGCTCTTAGCAGTGACCTTTCATTTCTTCAGTGAGATATTCTACTTCCTGCTGCACAGTGACTTACTGTACTTTATCATCTGTTATGTTCTTT